ACTCTCTGTGCAACAGAGCGAAACACCGCTGTTATGTTTGAGCTCACTGTTGCAGCCACTGTGTCCACCCATCTCCTTGATGGTCATCCTCTTGTTGGCTGACCCTCTACTTTTCCAAACCTGAGGTCTTTTATAGGGACCAGCTTCTCCTGAAAATATGTCCAGAGTGCCTGAGAAGTCTTGCTATCTATAGATCTAAGGAGCCGATTCGTTTGTGCTTGCAGTCCATATGTATGCTGTATTCTTCACGGTCTTCCTTGTTCATTGTCCAAACGAGGTCATTGAAAATACCAGGGTTTGGATGCAGCGCATCTTCACCCTCACAGTGACACCCTGCTCTTCAACACTTTCAAGGGGGCTCTGACAGCAGGTGTGCCCAATGCAAGACGTCATCTGATCTCTTGACTGCAGTGCCATGAGAATTGATGGTGGATCCAAGCAACATGAAATCTTTGACAATCTCGTCTCCATTAATCATAATGTCTATTGGTCCAGTTGAAAGGGTTTTGGCCTTCTTGAAATTGAGTAGCAACCCATATCGAAGGTTAGTCTTTGATTTTCATCAGCAAGCGCTTCAAGTGCTCATTGCTTTCAGCCGGCAAGGCTGTGTTACCTGCATCTCACAGATTGTTAAGGAGCCTTTCTCCAAGCTTGATACCTCATTCATCCTCAGATAGGCCAGCTTCTCAGATTATTTGCTCAGCATACAGATTGAATAGATAAAGCAAAAGGATACAACCTTTCTTGATTTTAAACCATACTGTGTTCCTTTGTTCTGTGTGTAGGGCTGCCTCTTCGTCTTTGTCCAGGTTCGGCCTGAACACAATGAAATGTTCCAGAATTCCTATTTCTCTCGGTGTGATCTGTAGTTAATTATGATCCACCCAGTCAAACGTCTTTGTACAGTCAACAAAACACAAGTAATTATCTTTCTGGTATTCTTTCCTTCCAGCCAAGAGCCATCTGGCATTACCCATGATAGCTGGCAGCTCCCTATAAATGTAATGCTGCCATTGTTTTTGAATTATCCATAGCAAAATTTTACTTGTATGAGATATTGATAATTAGATAATTCCCCTGATTGCCTGGAAGCCAATCATAAAATTGTAGACCCTCACCCCCAGTTCTTGGTCTAAACCTCATAAAAGTATTGATGAATATGATGAATATAGTATCTATGGTTTCATATTTATGAACTCTTAATAAACCTGTTTTAATCAGAAAAAAAACTATATTATTAGGTAATTCCTGCATTCTGCTGTGTCAACTTTCTTTGGAATGGGCACAAATATGGATCTCTTCCAGTCAGTTGGACAGGTAACTGTCTTCCAAATTTCTTGGCAGAGACTAATGAGTGCTTCCAGTGTTTCATCAACTGTTGAAACATTTCAGTTGGTATTCTGTCAATTCCTGGAGCCTTGCTTTTGGTTAATGCTGCCAGGGCAGCCTGGTCTTTCTTCAATGTCATTGGTTCTTGATCATATGTTACCTCTTGCTTTGGCTGATGGTGGACCAAAAGATTGTGTCTAGAGAATCGGAGGGCAAAAACCCCGAAGGAGGAAGGTACACAACTTGGTGGAAGGATGTTTGAATATTAGCTTTAATATATTCAGTCTAATAATTATTGACTCCTCTTGCACTTTGTGTAACACATGGTGCTAGGGAAATGTAACAGCGATTACGATATAGTTCTTAAAAAAGAAAGTCTAGTTCTCGACGACGACAACAACAAACGTAATGTTCTAAGGCAAAAAAGCGAAGAACATAAGGCACTCTCAACATTGCACCAAAGCAACACCAAGGAAGTGATAGGACAACTCTAAGAGAGTCAGTAGGTGTGTGTGGGGTGGGGTGGAGGTGTGGGGTGGGGTGGGGGGAGAGAAGGTGGAGATGGGGAATGATAGGGGAAATCAGGAAAAAAATTTTTTTTTTCTTTTCCAAGATGGCTATTGGGTTCTGAGACCTGGAAGTGTGAAAGGACATTTTAGGAGTCTGAAATGCCATGGACAGAAGCTTCCAGAAGCTCACTGCCATTGGGTTGGTTCCAACTCATGGTGACCCTCTAGGACAGGGTAGAAGGGCCTCTGTGGGTTTGAGGCTGTCACTCTTTTCAGGAGTAGAAAGTCTCATCTTTCTCCCAATGGAGCAGGCTGGTGGTTTTGAACTGCTGACCCCACAAGGTCAGGAGCCCACTGCATAACCACGATGCCACCAGGGCTCTTTAGATATATGCTTAGCACAGGAAAAAGAGGAGTGTATTTGGTTAAGAAACCAGTTTGGTCAGAACATGAGGTATGCCCAAGGAGAGTATGACCAGAGTTAGAAAGGCAGGCTGAGGCCAGACCACGGAAGACTTTCAATGCCCGTCTAGGGGATTAAGGCTGACTTTAGTAGGGTGGGAAATGAGCCTGAATGTTAAGAGAGGAAGGAGGGATCAAAGAAAAAGAGGCAGAGGCAAAAGAAGATGTTGCTTGGGTGTTCCTGCCCATCCCTGAGAGGGACAGGTTCGACCTGTCTCCATGCAACCCCGCTTGCGCGGGGAGCGCCCCTGCTTTCTCACCTTCCAAGCGCTTGGGGCAGAATGTGCGTTGAGAAATCCAAGGGAGGTGCGGAGCAGCCAGTCCCCTCTTCTCCCTCCCAGAGCCCTGGGGGTGGGTGACAGGACGTGGGAATGAGTCAGTGGGGTGGGGATCCCATGTTGGCTCCCATGTGTCTCCTGGGGGATATAAAGGGCCGCCTCAGAGCATCCCCAAGTTGGCACCATGAAGATCCCGGTTCTTCCAGCTGTGGCCCTCCTCTCTCTCCTGGCCGTCCACTCTGTGCAGGGGGCTGCCCTGGGTAGCTCTGAGGTGAGCATTATCACCTGGCTTCCGTTTTCTTATACCCTTTACCCCCTCTCCCCACTCCCCCTCCGCCCCCAGGTCTCTTTCTCTTCGGTTATTGGATAAGTAGCTCATGGGTTTGGACACTCTCAGGGGCTGAGTAAGGAACCTGGGATTTGAGGAAAGGAAGGTGGCATTCCAGGGAAGGCAATTAGGGAGATGCCTAGCTTCCTGGGAGGGATGGTTATGTGTGAGGTGGTAGCTAGTGAACTGGATCTTGCGAGGAGATGGGGGGCTGAAGGTTGGTCATGTGGGTTCAGCCTCTGTTTTGCTTCTTTTCTGTCCCTGCGGATGGTTTCCAAGTGACTGGAAGCTCCATACTATCTCTGGAGCCTAGACCATGGCAGGGATTCTTATCCAGGCTAGGAGGAATCTGGACCTCCTTTCCCCCACCAACTGATCCCAAAGTAGGAGTGTCAATTCTGAATGTAAAAGCCTAAGCTAGAGGGTCACACACTCACCTGCTGAGGATGCAAGCAAGTGATGCTAATGACTGGGATGCCTGGTGGGCGTGTGATGGAGCGGCCAATACTCACCAGATCTACTACTTGTTGCTCAGAAAGAGAATGCATCTTGCTTGGCCAGAGTCGTGTAACATTTTCAAGTGGAACTGGCAGGCTTGATTTATTAATGAAGTTTTCCCCACTTAAAAAAAAAAAAAGTTGAATTCAATGGAAAATCAAACAAACCAGGACTCGGTCTAAACATCTGGATCCAGTCCACGCTTTAAGCCGGTTGACCTCTGTTGAGGAACGAATGATGGTGGG